GCAAGTGACAGAAAATTGTACACTATTGGTAGCCATTTGGTGGGGAGAAGCAGAAAGCAACATTCCGTAACTTTGGCAACAAGAACAAAAAAACCTCCAAATTATTTTGCTCATCCCTACTGTGAAAGATATCTTCTTGCAAGATTTTACACTGTGGCTTTACACCAAGCCATGAAGTTTGGCACCTATAAAAGACACTGTTAGTTTCCAAGAGTTTGCACATCATGTGGGAGAAACACAAACCACCGCAGGGTGCCAGCTTCTGAGGGAAGCTAAGGAGAGCTGGAGATGCTTGGATCTCTTGAAACACAACACAACAGCTTTACTGAGATACCTTATTTCTGCTTTCACCACAAACTCTACTATTCACCCGGGGCAGATCAGAGTGTTGAAGCTCCAAGCCTATTTTGGATGAAAAAACTGAGAAAACTATACCATATTTTGGTTGAGACAGTCTTTTGTGTCCTTGGAAGAAGTTTGCTGGACTCACACATGCACCTCAGTGGTGCTTGAGCTACAACCCTGTATCAGTGAAAGCAGGTGGCATCTGCCTTTAAGGTTAAAGCTACAGAGGAGGGGCTGTGCATGCTCAGTATGAAACCTAGGTCTTGCTTTCCTCAGGACCTTGTATCTTTCCCCCAGTGGTAAGTCCAGCCTTGGTGTTTTGGGTTTATCCCTTTCTAAGAATGGTTGGTTGCAATGAAAGGTGGCTTTTGGGGTGAGAAATGTTGCTGCATTGTAACAGTTGAATGTAATTGTTTGCTATCACTTTTCTGGTGTGGAAAGTGCTTTGGATTTTTTTGCTTGTTTACTTGCTTTTCTTTAATGTCTTTGATGTGACGGTAGGAAGGGGGAAAATGTGGTGAAGAGTGGAAGCATGTGCTTGCAGTGAGATAGTGGGAGCAGAAATGTCTTCTTTTCTCTCTGGTCTGCCACCAGTTTATGTCATGCTGGGCCAAGCAGTCAGGACTTTGTTCCCACACGCATTGGGACACTTGGCTCCAGAAAAAGGCAATAGTAGTATAGATGGGCTAAGGCTCATGAAAGGCAAATGATGTTCTTGCTAGAGTTTTTTTGTTTGGCTGTTGGCTTTTGTTGGGGTGGCCTTTGGTTCAGGTTTTTGGTTTGGGTTCTGGTTTGTTTTTTTTTGGTGAAGGTTAACATTACCAGCTTTCTAGGAAAGCCTGATGTTGAGTGCTGCGTGGGTGCAGCTGTAGGGGCATGTTGCTCTCCCTGCCATATTTTGCAGAGCAGTGTGATGACAAATTGAATCAGCTGGGATGCAGCCCTACTCCAATGGGCTGTAATGCAGCTCTTCTGGGGAAACGATCAAGAGGCAGGGAAACAGAGTGCCCAAGGCTCCAGCACACCAAGTGTATCTGAAAAGTGTTTTCACCTGGAGTCTGGGGTGCTCTCACTTCAGCAAAGCAAATAGGATGGAGCTGAACTAGACCTCAGTGGGAGCGCATGGCTGACTGAAAACTGTCCTGGGATTCAGTGGTTCAGGAGCAGTGTCCCAGCGCTGCTCAGGGAAACAGTGTCATTTTGGTGATCTGCTGGTTTTCAGAGAAAACTTAACCTGCAATTTTTGTTAATTCATAATCTCCTACTGGTTCTTAAAGGAAGCGGTTGTGGATGCAGTGTTCTATTCAGCTTGGAGTTTCAAGGGTGCTGTAAATCCCTCTGCAGTTCCAAACTAGTGCAGTTAGTGCTCTCTGCTTGTGGCAAGCTGCTTGCTAACTATTTCAGCAGTTAATGCAGGAAATTAGCTTGTAGACTTAAAGTGGAGGACAAGCTAGACCATATTCACTATATGCTTTGTTCTGTCATAGTAGTGTAACAGCGTATGTTTGGTAGTGCCTCCCACAATGTGCTTTGTGATGAGTTGTGTGTAAAAGTGATGTTATTTAAATGTCTTTTAATAAATAAAAAAGCAGCTGGTAGGAGCAATTTGAACAATGCTAACTCCTGATATCTTGTGATTAGCTTTAGTCAGTCACTGATTATTTTACTGAAGCTGAGTATTTGCTGACATAGGAAAAGACAACTAAAGTAGTGAAATGCATGCATAGATCTTGCTTAGGCTTTAGCTGTTCTTGTGGAAGAGCAAATTTGGGCACTTTGGTATTCTGTAGAGGAGTACACAGAGGCGGCTACTCTATGTTGAAAGCTATTAAGAAAAATGTCACTAGATTTAGATTTTAAGATCACAGGGAAGGAGACAATTCAGCTTGTGTGAAGCTTTGTGCTGAACTAAAGTTGGTTTTCTTGCAACTTGGCAGCTTTTTCCCACCTGAGAGCAGGGTGCACCAAACAGTAAAAAGCAATTCTCTCTACCTCTGTAATACTGTATCCTTCTCATAGGTGCACCTGATCCTGCAGCCTCCTTTAAAAATAGAGCTGTATGGGTAGTAAAGGTGTTGAAGATAGTGTTGAAGGAGTCTCTCAGATTTTGCTTATGTAAAAGTATTAATCAGGGAACTTCTTTTGTGTAGTATAGAAAAACACACCTTTTTTTGGCTATAGGGTAGGATCTGGTAATGCTTTTCTTGGTAAGCCAGGAGCTTGGTTGAGTATAGGGATAAAGATGACACAGCTGGAAAATGCCTTTTTCTGGAGAAATCTGGGGCTGTGTTTAGTACAGGCATGAAATTGTTGTGTCCTTAACTGGTGTGACTCTTTACAATAGCTCTGTTAGCTTCAGAGGCATAGAATTACAAATCTGGCTACATCAGTCTATGCAGCTAATACCTCCTTCCTCTCCTGTGCTGCAGGCTGTGGGCACTGTGGGGAGTGCTTGTTTGGAGTAGGCTTATGATAACCAACTTCTGCTTTGCTGCTGAGTAGGACCACACTGGGTAGCTTTGCCTTCTTGAGACCTAGGACTTTGTGCAGCTGTGAACCAAATTTGAGCATGTCACGGCACTGAGACTTTCCGAAAGAAAGGTCTCTGAGGGAGGTCTGTTTTGTAACAAGTCGTTTTGGTGAGGCTGGTTCCACACAAGGAGCCTTGTGTGGATACCTTGGCAATGGATTCAGAAAAAGTGATTCTAGTGTTTAAGTCACGGGCAGTTGTTATAAGTGGTAAATAATGAGCACTTTGGTGGCGTCTCTGCCCATTCCTTGGAGGTCAGGATTGAGTGCAGGGTATTGAGTGGTGCCTGGGCTCTGTGGGTTGGAGCATATACTCCCTATTACTCTCCTCTAGAGCTTGTGGTAGTGTTGATTTGCTTAGGTGAGATCTGCTCTTCTGGGTTTCAATATGGCACTCTTGCAAGTGCCTTACCAGACTGAAAGTTTGAAAGTAGTAATTTCTGGTACTTTGTGGGATAACTGCTGTTCTCAGAGGATTTGTGATTATTTATTCATATGTAGTGTGGGTATGTGCTCACATCTGTGAGGCACAGCTATTAGCTATGCCACTTCTGAATTTTATTTTTATCTCTGGCTGTTCATGAACTTTTAAAGGATGTTGGGTTCCTTTTCTTAATCACAAAAGCAACTGAACTGATACTCTCACCTATTTTGAGGCATGCCCAGCTGTGGCTCTGGGGGCTGAAACAGCTTTGATTTTTGTTAGTTTAGGAAAACTGCTCTTTTCCAAGGGCTTGCAATTCCGTGGGCAGCGTAGGTGAGGAAAGCCATGCTTTTTGTAAACCAGACACATCCTCAAAACAGAAGAGGCCATACAAATTCAGTAGAAAGAGCTAGATTCCTCTCTGACAGCAGCCAGAAATAGATACTTCAGGAGAGAGTAGAGGAAAAGAACAACTGTAGTATGATCTTCCTTCTACAACACCCTTTCTTAATTTTAGCAGCTTAATAATTTAGGGTCTTCCACGCAGCTGGTTAGACCATTGTGCTGAACAGCACCAAAGTGAGCCAAACCAAACGTTAATCCAGTTCTCTTTGTAAACAGTTTATAGCCCTGGCTCCTGCCACAGCCATTCCCCCATCAGGGAGCGTGGCCGTTCACCAAAACAACTCTTTTGTGTGAACGTTTTACAGGGTGCCCCCGGCCTCGTAGCAGAAAAGGCAGTCACCTGCCTCCTACTCCAGTTAAGTCGACCCCGGAGATTTTGCCAACTGTAAATACACTGAAGAAATTCCTCCCGCCCCCCACCCCTAACATCCCTGCAGCCATTGAGTATTTTGACACGGGCGTAAAAGCTGCTGAGTGTGAATTTAGAAATTGGCCAGTGGGATGAGAATGTGCAGCTGTGGAAAGCACGAGTGCTCCAGCTTCGTCACTGCTCCTCTTGGGCCCACCTATTTCTGTGAGGCTTGTGGGAGCTTAAGGGGATAAAAATGGCTAAGGTAATTAGCAGATCTGGCAGAAATCAGCTGGCTGGACTAGGAAATAATTGGAGGCAAGAAGGCAGTAGAAAAGCCATCAGATATAGTCTGATGTGGTGGAACTTATTACCGTAGAAAATAAAGCAAAAAGAAGGGGGATATTATTGTTGTTGTTGTTACTATTCATTTGTCCAAAACCAACTCCCTCTTATTTTAGTACAAGACCTCATCTGCAGTGGCTGGGTATAGGAAAAGTCAGATAAATCATGCAAGGGCATGCAATCTAGAGAAGCAACCAGTTAGGGACAGTAAAATTGCATGGAGGTGCTCCACCTGCTGCAAAGGCTGCCCGCTTTGTGTGGAAAGTTGCTTATTTGGGGGTAAAACAGAAGGTAGCATTTTTTATTATTTTTTTTTTCTCCTCTGGGATTCTTATGACACAGCATCCCAGTGAACTCTAAGAGGTATTTAACTTATTGGGAAGTTTCTCCTGTCTAAATACAGCATCTGCTGCAGTGTGGAATGTGTGGTGTACAGCTGTGAATGTTCTAGGCATTCAGTGTGTCTCCTCTTTCACACAATAGCTTCTATTTATGGGATTTCATTGATCTGGGCTCACACATCACATTCAACATAGCTTTGTGTGTGCATTTTTTTCTCTTTTTTTTCTTCTTTTTTTTTTTTTTTTGCTTTTGTTTTTTAAGGTTTGTAGAAACTCCGAGCCACTTCTCCTGGAAGGAAAGTTACTACCGATCAGCCATGTCCCAGAGCTCGCAGCCCAGGGAATTCCTCAGTCCAGAGGTGCTCCAGCATATCTGGGACTTCCTGGAACAGTAAGTAGCCCTTACACAGAACCTGTAGAAGAAAGCGTTTTGGGACAGGATGCCCCTATAATTAGGCTACTCAAGGGAGTGATGCTGGGGTATTTGGAGTCTTCTGCACTTATTGGTTAGAAGGTGTGGGTAAGAGTCTGTGATGACTGGCAACTCTTGAGCTCTCCAGAGGTTCTACATCCAGGCTATGGGAAACAGGTGCAGAGATCAGTAGCGACAGTGACTGTCTTGAAAATCTCTGGTGGTTGGCATTTTCCCCTAAGGAAATGGATTCACTGCTCTTATGTCCAAGCTGCATGTTTTCCTCTCTTGCTGATGCCGTGGAGGGACAGGAGATGGAGATTGTGCAGAGTTCATCCAATCAGGTCCTTTGAAGGAAATAAAACCAACTTTTTTCCCATTCCTGACTTGCCATGACTGATGCTGAGACAGTTACTGCTATAAATCCTCCACGAGTTCTGTCTTTCAGTGATTTAAATCCTGTGCTCCTACCTCATTTTTCTGGTCAGACAAGTGAAATGTCCCTCCAGGCTCTGTCCTGTTCAGGAACTGCTGTTAGCGTAGCAGGTGATGAGATAGTTGTCCATTAGTAATTACTTACTTTGTCCTGAGACTGGTCTGTGGTCATGCCTGAGTCCTGGGTGACACCCTAGCATGAAGGACAAGGTGGGGAATGGAAAATGGAATTTGGCCAATTTTAACTGTGTTACTCTGTTCTTTTCAGGCCAATATGCTCAGTTCAGCCAATTGATTTAAACTTCATTGACACCCCATCTGAAAATGGCCCTACTAACAAAATAGAGATCAGCATGGACTGCGTCCGGGTGCAGGACACAGAGCTGAATGACCCAATGTGGGTGAGTAGTGAGAACTTCCTTAACCTTTGGGGACAGATGAAGAGTGTTTACAGGAGCTATTCTCGCTGCAGTGCCCTGGGGTCATCTTTCCCCTCTTGATGGAGGAGCTGTGGCCACTGCCTTTGACCCAGGAAGTTCCTTCTTTCTTTGCCTGTAGTGTCCCACTCACAGAAGCTGGTTGGGAGCATGGCTTTGCGGAGTGACTCTGGTGGTGGTGAGCAGAGGTTCTGTACATGTGGCTAAGATGGACGGTGTGTGGCCTCTGGAAAGGCTTCACCCCTCCATGCCTCCCAAGTGCTGCAAGGGGGAGCAGGCTGGCTCCTTACCTGCTCCTTTTCTCCTGCTTCAGCAATGGTGGGAGAGAGGGATGAAGCAGCTAAACAGGCAGAAGAGCTGAGGAGTCTCTTGCACTTGCCTGGTCGCTCAACTGTCATTGCTCTTTCCCTGTTTAGAGCTAGTTTATGTGACCTCAGGGATAAAGTAGCTAAGATAATTGGTATTCTGGGCACAGCTGCAATTTTGCTGATCAAGGGCAGGGGTTATTACTGGGTTTTCTTCTCTTGAAGGTCAGATAGGAATGAAAACTTGGTTTCAGGGCATAGCTGGGTTTTGTATTTTTTTTTCCTGTGGGTTTTTTGTTGTTTTTTTTTTTTCCCCTTTTTTCTCATTCTATATCTCCAGATAGGCAAACCTAGAGAGTGTTTGTAGCCAGCCTTGGCTGTGGGTGTCTCACCAGTATAGCTCGAGACTAGAATGTAGATGAGGCACTGGTGGTTCATTGTGGGTTCATTGCCTTTGGCGCAAACTGACCAGCTTTTTCTTAGCAATAGCTTTGAAGAAACCAGAAGCTGTTCTTGCAGGCTGGAGCAGGAGGTAGTTCAGGAGTTTGAGCTTTTCATGTCCTCTTTTTGTTCTTCACGGGTTTTGTATATGTTGGGGTAAAAATCATGTCTGGTTTGAAATTTATGTTGGCATGTGTAAGTTTTCCTGTACCTCTATGTTTCCATCCTGAGAAACTGTGTCAACTAATTCCCTGGCTAACCGACCACTATTTTTCATGTGGCAAACAATGGCTTGTTGGCAGCCTGCATCCTGGCAGTTACTAACCTGGAGGATATCACATCTGCAAAGTAATTGCTCCCTGGTCATGCTGATTGCAGTCCCCAGTGACAGAAGCCTTGACCTGGTACTGCTGCTCCTTGTGTGCCAGGGAGACTGCAGTGCTCTTCTCTTTCCTTCTGGTGCCGCAAAGGGTAAAAAGGCCACTTTGAGGTTGGGTATGTGCTTGGCTAAGGTGGTGGAGCTAATCCAAGTGCACAAGGAGAGGTGACTGACAAGTCAGGTTATCTTTTGATTCTGCATTCAAATTGGGCACAGGCAGGTGGTGTACAAGCCTTCAATCAGCATCTGGATCTCAGCTTTTCCCAACAGCATGGCACAGCCCCAGTAAAATGGTGTCTTTCCAGTAGCTAGTCCAAAATGTTCTTCATGTTTAGAGGGACTCCTGATTTTCAAAGTTGCTGATAATGTTCTCTTTGAACTATGTCTCCTTAAAAAACAATCCTTGACAATCTAAACATTATCAGCTGAATTTTTTCTCCTTCCATGCTCTAGCACTAGCTATATTGAGTACAAGCAAAACCTCCCCATCTCCAGCTCCTCTGAAATGCCTGCAGAGCACTCTGGTAGCTGATGGGCTAACTGGAAGCTCTTGTTCAGAGTCTTTTTCCTATCTGTGGTGCAGTGAAACATGAATGGAAAATCCCTTCCTCTTGCTCTCTCTGAGCATGGCTGAAGTGAGCCCTGGGGCTAGGAGAGGAGGGCAGGCAACTTTTGCTATGCAATTACCTCTTGCTTATGGTAGGTTTGATCCCAGCCTTGCAGGAGGTATTTCTGGAAAGGCTGAGCTGCCAGGTGACTTCTTTAAAAAGGGTTTTTCACTGACATGACAAGCTGAAGGGGGGAGCAGGGAAATTCCATCCCATCCTCACCCTTACTGTAAGGCAGTGGCTCAGAGTACATTAAAGTATGTACATTAATAAATGTTTCAGTTTGTCTTCGGTGGAAGACAGCACCTTCACTCAGTTGAATGCTGGACAAAAGCCTTTACAAAGCAAAATATGCACTGCAAACCTGTGCAAACAGCCCGTCTTTTAAAATGAGGAAAGCTCTTTTTACTCCCCTTACCACCACCACCACCTCCCTATAAATTTGCAAACATCCCTGACGGGTGACAACTCCCCCTTGCAGAGAAGTCCGTGTTTGCTTTGCTGTTTCTGGGGCTCGCAGCCGCTGCAGCTTGCATTGGCAGAGAATGTGTAGCCTGGGGCAAGGTGTTTGCTTTAATCTGAAATACCTTACAACCCTCTTCCCCTGCAGCTTCTCTTTTCCTTTGGATAGCTTCAGGGCAAGAGCTCCCTTTCCACCTGTCTCTCCTGTAACCCCAGTCATGTCACTTCTAAGCACGAGGTGCTGCATGCAGCTGATCGCAGTTAGAGTTGAAGAGGGCAGATAAACACAAAGGAATGCAGCAGAAACAGAGGGGCCCTGGAAGATCACAGTGAGATCAAGGCAGAGAGCTTTTTATTATCAAAATTGTCTTGGGAAAAGAGCAAGGACAGCTTTTCTCTATAATGTACCACCATGTGAGACTGAAATAGGTGCAAAGCAATTAGGACTGGTTTATTTAAAGCAATTGTCCTTAAAAGGACTTCAAGGCAATCTCTGTCAGCCTTTAAAATAAGCTTTGCACCTTCTTCCAACTTATGGCTGGAAAATTAAGCTTTTAGACTTGAAAGATGTCCACCCTTGATTCCAAGAGTTGTGTTGGTGAGAGAGCTACTATTTCTTTATTATTTCATTTTTAGTAGGGTACAGCTGTTTGTTCACAGCAGAGCTGGCAGTGGGGAAGGAGCTACAGTGCTCAGAGCAGTACCTGAAGATTTTGTCCCACTGGTGGGCTGGAAACTGAGCATAAGTCCAGCCTTGCTGAACCCATCGGTTGTGTTTGTTGCCTTGAAAATACAACTATCTGGAAAAAGCTGGAAAAGAAGGTTGGGTGACAAGGAAACACCTCGTCTGAGTTACAGCTTTGGCTCGTGCTGAGCCAAGACTTTACAGTTCTTACACTCTTGTTTGTAAGGAAGAAATATTCTTCCTGTGCCCCATATAAGAAAGATGTAAGGGTGCTGATCACCATTTTCTACCTTGGGATGAAAAGACCTAAATGGGACAGGAAGAGGGTTTGTGGGTCTGGTGTGACATTAGACAGTCAGCAACTCCCCAGCTGTGTGCCTTGTGACTGGCTCTTTCACAATGTCCTGGGACATCTGTGAGGCTGATGGCTGTGCCCCTTCCTCTCCCATGGCGTTGATCACAGCCAGGCTGGGAAATCCCAGCATAGATCTGCCTTTTTGCATAACTAGAGTGAGGGGCTGGTGGTCCTTGTGGGTGCAGAGAGCATTTAGTCTCTGCCATGGCCCTGGCGTGGGAAGGAGCTGCAGATGGCCAGGAAGGTAAGTTGAATGTCTATTCCTGTGGACCTCTCTGTATTTGCTAGACCAACCAAAAGGGTGGTCCCTAGCCTATTCCCTGACGAAGGATGTAGCCAGCAACCATGGGTGTTATAGGAGTTTCTTTGGTTTGATTTGGCTTTTTTTTCCTGACTGACTAAATACCATGGAACTACAGGGAGGAGCAGTCTGGAGACATCTCTAGAAATGAGCTGTATGTTGGTGTAATAACCCCTGCATTGCCCTGGAGGCCCTCTCTGTGTGCTGTCAGCCTGTCATACCAGGTGCAAAATTCTTTTCCTTCACCATCTCCCAGAAGTCCTTAAAATTGCTCACTAATGTTAAGAGATGCTAGTTTGGACCCAAACAAACCTTGTTTGGGCTAAGGACTTTATCAGGCAGCATGCTGATAAAAGCATTATTTGAGGGGTTTGCAGAGTCTAGAAGTCTTCTGCCACCATCCTAGAAGCATGTCCAGGGCACTGGCGACCTTGCTGGTGGGAGCAAGAGTGCTGTCCTCAGTGATGGAGCAGCTCATCCCCCTCCCCCTGTACATATCTTCCTTTCATGCCCCTGAGCAAGCCGTCCTCCCACAGCCCCTTGCCTAACCAGTTCAGTGGAATGCCTTTTCCCCAGACAGTCAGTGTGGTCAGTGTTTTCTTAACCTGGATCCTTCCCTCCCCATAAAAGGCAGATAGAATTCCTTGCCCTTTTTTTGGGGGGGTTTGAGTCTTCAGCTTTGTTGGCTGTGGATGTCCCAAGCCTGGTTTCATATTTTCAAAAGTGAGAGCCTCAGCTCTGTAACTTCACTGTTCTCCTTTATACACAAAGATGGAGGTAAAAACAGGCTGTAGGGAGAGACTGGATGTGGCCCATCTAGGACCTGAAGGTGTTGAGGCTCTCCACTTCAGCTCTCACACTAATGAGTTGGTATTTGATACTTCCTAATGGAAAGAAACCTTTCCCAGTTTTAACGTGCTGTAGGCCCGTGGAAGAGCTACTCCAGCCAACCTGCACAGAATACATTCGCCATGCTGCAGTGCAGTGAGCTAGAGAGGAGTGAGACTGAGGACTCTGCAGAGCTACCTTGTCCCAAAGTGGCTGCAGCTCTCTGCATATTCTTAGCCTTCACATCATGTAAATCAGCTCAACAGTTCATTTAGTGGTCATACACTGAATTCCTGGGTCCCTGGGAGCCCATCACATGGGAATTGTGGTCAGGATCAGGTGTGCAATAATATGATGGACAGGCATAAGAAAACCCAACCCACTGTCCAGAAGGATGTCTATTGAGCCCAATCCAATGCTTTAACAGAGATCAGAGCCTGCACTTCAGTATTAATTTTAGTTGCTTTCTTGGAAGTGTTTTTCTGGGTCAGGAGAAGTCCATTTGCTGCAAGGTGATGGTTGAAGAAACAGATGACAGCTGGTTAAGGGGTGGTGGGACTGCAGGGCAGGGAGGGCATCCCTGTGTACTGACAGCAGAGC